CAGAAATCTATTCTGACAGCGCTCGATTTTTCCAAGGCAACTTTTTTGAGATTCAGTGAAAAAAGGAAAAGATGAACCACTTTTCTTTTCGCTTTTCTTTTCTCTTTTCTCTTTCCTTTTCTCTTTTCTCTTTTTTCTTTCAATTTCTCGAAACTCTTTAGTCTTGCTGATGAAAGGGATGAAAAGAGCACAAAAAGGGTCCACAAACTTCTCGAGGAGAGTGCTTTTTGGGGAATGGAGGGAAAGGGGAGGCCCCACATCCTCCCCCCTTTCCCCTTTCCCCTTTCCCTTTTCCACTTTCGTTCTCCTCGTTTTCTTAACCATTTTTGCATAACAATAAAGAAAACGATGAATAAATCTCTTAAAAGAAAAGGATTTCAACGTACAAATCTTTGTCTGAATCGTTGAAATCGTTGAAATCGTTGAAAATCTTGTATTTTTCAAAGAGAAGCAGCCAAATTGAGCAAAATCTAGCCTTATTATTGAGCTCTTTTCGTAGTTTTTTGCTTTTAAATAGCTATTCTATTTGTTAACATTTCAAAGTTTTCAACTCAAGCATTGGAAAAAAGAGATTTCTGATGTTGAAGTGCGATGATTTGACGAAAGAGTGACTGCGTGACGAGTCCGTCGAGACAAGAGAGAGAACAGGCTCTTCATTTGGGGGAACACTAAACACTGAAATCATTCACTGAAAGAATCCCTTTTCTCATTCTCGTTTCTTTCTTTATTTGTTGTCGATCTTTGTTTGTGTTTTTTGAGTCAATCGGGATGATTACGAAAGATTGTTGTCTTCAAAGTTATCTCATCAGCATCAGCATCAGCATCAGCATCAGCATCAGCATCAAGATCAGATAGAAGCATCAGCATCGATCTTGTACTTGAAAAATTGGGTCAGCTCAAACTGAAAGCTATAAATCAAGTAATTTATCTAAAAATTAATGCTTGATCATATTATATTGTCAAAAAAAAACAACTTTTTAAACAACGATCGATTCACAATCGACTATTCAAAGGACACAAAATCGAATCCGGATTCGAATTTGAGTACTCTTTTTGTACAATGGGTTATTCTACTATACAAAACATAAAACATGGATTATTCTACTGAATCTCTCTTGAAAATGAATCCATAAAAATGAATTAGATGAACAGGATGTGATCTCAAAAAAAAAACAGGCTTCATTCTACCCACTTTAACCGTCAATAGACATGAACTCTGAAAAGAAAAAAAGGAATTGACTCAATTCTGAAAAGAAAAGAAAGAGAAAGAGAAGAGAAGAGAAAGAGAGAAGAGAAAGAGAGAAGAGAAGAAGAGAAAGAGAAGAGAAAGAGAAGAGGAAGAAAGAGAAAGAGAAAGAGAAGAGAAAGAAAAGAAAAGAAGAAAAAGACTTCCCTGTAAATAGCCTCGATTATTGCTTCGGAGTTCTCTAAAAGGAAAAATCGAAAAAGCTTTGTTGTTGTTGTTGGTGATTTTAATGAAACATTCGAATAATTGAGAATTTCAAAGCCAAATTTATTAGCATAATATCATTTTCAATAAAGTAGAACTGATTAAAATATATCGATTTATCAATAGATTTATCAGGTATTAAAATATGAAATCAGTTTTTTTCAGTGGTCCATTTCGTTTCAGCTATCCATTTCGTTTCAGCGATCCATTTCGTTTCAGCGATCCATTTCGTTTCAGCGATCCATTTCGTTTCAGCTATCCATTTCGAGTATACCATTTAAAAAATGGATTTCATTAAACAATCTGCTGAAATGTTCTTTTGTGAGACTCCTTCTTTAAATAAAATCTCTTTAAAAAAACATCTACCGTAAATACTGTAATAGTACCCGACCCCCTCGTACAGTAACACCATCTCTGTTCACTCGGCGTCCCGCGTTTGAGCGATTCTCTTTGTGATGGGTCTCGTAACCGCCAGGAATCTGGAAGATTTAGAGTTTGGAGTTTTTATTGATTCTTGATAACTAATCTTTGATAATTAAGTCTAGATAACTAATCCTCGATAAAGAATCAATTACCGTAAATACTGTAATAGTACCCCATTTGATTTGAAATGTCTAGAAAATCCTAGACATTTGGGAATCTACTAAGATTAGACTATGTGTACGATAATTACTCATCTACCGTAAATACTGTAATAGTACCCCACTCCCCTCGTACAGTCGCGTAGTCGCAAAAGTTTTTTAGTATTTCATTTTTTTCAAAGCGCCCGTACTTTCAAAAAATGTGTCTTTGGTATCAAAAAATAGCCCTGAATTTCAGCTATTTTTTGATACCTAAGCGCGCATTCTAGCATAAACCAGTGTCGAGCAAAAACTCGTTCAAAGCTAGCCTACGCAACACTCCGCACCGTCATTCTGGGGGTGGGGTGCTATTACAGTATTTACGGTAACTCTTTCACAAATGAAAAAAGAGCTCAAATTAAAATGAAACAAAAAAGCAATATGCAACAAGTTTACTTAGCCAGTTTACTATAACTATAGCAAGTTATAACCAGTTTACTTAGGTTTTATTCTCTCAAAAAAATCAAAATACTATAATTTTCTTCAGAAAATGGGTGATTGTTGTTCTTTTTTGTCCTCTTTTCTCAGACTGTTTTCCCTTTATTTTCACTTTCTTCTCTTTCCTCTTTTTTCTGGAAATCTTCAGTGACCAGTCCTGCACTCTTCTTAGAAAATGTCGCCTGAAGAAGAAGAAGGAGAAGAAGAAGAAGGAGAAGAAGGAGAAGAAGGAGAAGAAGAAGGAGAAGAAGAGATGTGAAGGGAGGGAAAAGGAGGGGAACACCTCTCAGTCCCCTCAACGGATTATTCTCCCTCACTCTTTCTCTCGAAAAGAAAAACGCACACACCAACCGCCTGAAGGCCTTCATTTCGTTTTGCTTTTCTTTTCTTATACAGTTCCGATCTCGTATTGGTTTCACGAAAATTTTTCTTTATAGAATATCTCCTTTGTAACAGTTTAGACTCGCTAGCTTAAAATAGAGCTTCTACCGTAAATACTGTAATAGTACCCCACCCCCCTTGTACAGTCGCGTAGCCGCAAAGGTTTTTTAGTATTTCATTTTTTTCAAAGCGCCCATACTTTCAAAAAATGCGTCTTTGGTATCAAAAAATAGCTGAAATTCAGGGCTATTTTTTGATACCAAAGCGCGCATTGTAGCATAAACCAGTGTCGAGCAAAAACTCGTTCAAAGCTAGACTACGCGATGCTCCGGCCGTCATTATAAAAGCATGACGAGAAAAATGCGTTTAAAGTTAGACTACGTGATGCTCCGTCTTTTGATATCAAAAAATAGCTGAAATTCAGGGCTATTTTTTGATACCTAAGCACGCATTGTAGCATAAACCAGTGTCGAGCAAAAACTCGTTCAAAGCTAGACTACGCGATGCTCCGGCCGTCATTATGGGGGTGGGGTACTATTACAGTATCTACGGTACTCTTCGTGTCTGCACTTTTAAATCCTGAAAAGTGAAGTTATAGTGTTTTGTGTGTTAAAAGATAAAATGGGAAAAACATACTAGTGTTTTTGAATATACAGCCGTTTCAAATCAAGTAACCCATCCGAAAAATCTCTTTTCGAATTGTACTATGATTCAGAAACTTTAAATGATTCAAATAAACGAATTACACAAAAGAAAAATCGTTTATATGACATTCATATATGAAATAAACCCTAGAAATCCCCTTGTGTGAGCATACCAACACATCAGCACGTGGGCAACTCAATGCCGAGCCGTCTGTCGGATAAAGCAGAAAGGTTCTACTCATTATAAACTGGTGTTTATAAAAGAGAGATAAAAATGGGTCACTTGATGTGAAACGCACTGTATAGCTGTACTGTAGCTGTACTGCAGCTGTACTGTAGCTGTACTGTAGCTGTACTGTAGCTGTACTGTAGCTAGCTGTACTGAATAGCTGTACTGTCTAGCTCTACTGTCTAGCTGTACTGTAGCTGTACTGTAGCTGTACTGTAGCTGTACTGTAGCTGTACTGCAGCTGTACTGTAGCTGTACTGTAGCTAGCTGTACTGAATAGCTGTACTGTCTAGCTGTAATGTCTAGCTGTACTGTATAGCAAGCCCGTTTTTAGGTGAAACTCTGAGCTGGCTGAACTCTGAAGGCTGAACTCCCCATCGGGGATCCCCCTAGCTGCATACCAGTTTCCTTCTCCTTGAACGCTCAGCCAGTTCCACCCTTTCTCCTCCATTCTCTTTTGTATTCCTTTAATCTACCGGAAATCTCAAATCTCAACTTTTTTAAAACATTATTTCTTGTCTCAAATCGGCAAAGCTGTCTACTTTTTAACGAAATCCATCCTTTTCTACAATAAGCTTCTCCGCAAATCGCTTCTACGCTTACTAATCGTTTGTATTTTCCGGTGAGCGTAAAACGAATAGAAATTTCATTTTAGTTTCATTTCATTTTTCAGTTTCATTTCATTTTTCGATTCAAATCATAGTTTTCATTGAAATTTTCCGAAAATCTTTTAACTAAATAGGGCATACACTACTGGACAACTAAATATGATATTTGAAAAAAGATCGTCACTTTCGAGCCTCTGTAACTCCCTTGTCTTTACCGTATTTCTAAATATTAATATTACCATTGAAAAGCCATTGAAAAGAGCTTTCAGAAAATGTATAACACTAATAGTTTAAACTCAACTAAAAGCTAATGGTGTTACAGACGCGCAAGGAAAGTGATTTCAAAATATCATATTCGACAACCCCAATTCTATCTCGGCATCAGTTCATTCAAAAAAGACGAAAATGACGCGATTCGATTCGCCTCATTCTCCTCTACAAGAATAGTTGCAAATTGGATTATTAACAGGTTCAGGGAACAGAGAATAAAGAATCATTCTCCTTCAGGAAATCTCCATCATTAACTGAACCTTATCTTTTCCCCTTTCCATTAGTCTCTTTCACTTATTTTTTACTCTTCTTCATTCATTTCATCCATTTCTTTATCATTCATTTTCTCCTTTTCAGGGTATGCAAATCGATCATCTCTTCTTCACATTTCATTTCTTTCATTTATTAATCTTCTTCACTCTTTTCTATCAAACAACAGCTCAATTCGACCCCGATTGTAAATGGAGAGACAATGTCACTTGTGAGTTGAAGTTGAATCTAAAACATCAAGATGATCAGATCAGATCAGATCAAGATGATCAGATCAGATCAGATCAGATCAGATCAAGATGATCAGATCAAGATGATCAGATCAAGATGTTCAGATCAGATCAAGATGATCAATCTAGCTTAATCCAAGAAAAGTTTCAAGAATTTTCAAGTGTTTTCTTTTGACCATTCGATTATTGTTATTCATCGTCGCTCATCCATTTCCTATTCATCCATTTCCCCATTCTCTTTCCTCTCCAAAGCCTTCCGGTCAGTCATTTTTGAGAGATTCTCTCAGAAAAAAAGAAAAGAATTTGCCTGAACTGGATTGTGAAGAGAAAATTGAGGAAGAATTTGGTGAAAAGGAGAGCGAAAAGCGGGCAAACATGCGAGTGATTGTTTGTGTTTGTTTGTGAATCTCTTTTCAAAGAGATCGAGTCGATCCATTTAAAGAAAGAGATTCTCCATTTACACCATTCACTCACCACAACACATCAACACATCAACAATTTCTAAAGATAAAAAGAGAATAAAATTGAATAGAAAAAGTAGACAAGATCTCTAGCAAAAAGCTACAGACAAAAGCTTCTTCTCAAGTTGATCAAAAGTCATTAAGTCATTAAAAGTCATCAAAATTTGCTTGAAAATGTAAAACTCTTTCATTTCAGCAGTCGACGAAATTGCTCACCACAAATATCAAGTACTCGAGGATTGTTTATATTATAAATTGAGTCGAGATGCGGATAAGTTACAAAGTAAGCAATTTGAGCAATCACAAATCACCACTATTTTTAGATAAAGGCAACGCTTTGATGCTATTGCCACCAACAGTGGCTGCTGGGGAAACCCTCGATTTGGAAGTGATGGATGTAGTGCTAAGACAATTGTGGATTGTAAGGAAAACGAAATGAGCAGTGATTTCTAAAAGGAAAACTTTAGAATGAGGTATTCAAGGAAATGAATATGAATGGGTTTATCAATTTGGTGGGTTTTTCATTGGATCTTTGATTGATTGATTGATTGGTTGATTGATTGATTTATTGCCTTTAATTTAATTTAATTCATTGATTAATTTAGTCATGGAAAGATCGTCGTCTTCGATGGGATCTCGGGGATTATAAAACCGATAATTTGAATATCAAAAGCTTTGGGAAGATCTGGGTGCCGGATATCAATTCGGAGAAGTGAGTTGAGAAAAGCATTGAAAAGCAAAAGCTTTTGTGTCATAGCAATGATATTTGAGGCTTTAAATTGAACGTATGAGAAAATAAACCTCAAAACGGGTGACCATTCGGATATATAATGTTCGTCAACGTAAAGCCTTTTCCCTTCAACTAAAAGTGGTCTTGTTCTCGGTCCATCGGGACGAGTGAAATCAATGTTCACATCGATTGTTGGAGCACCGGCTGAAAAATTGCCATCTTTGGTAGAATTGAATTACAATACGAGTAGAATTGGCTAACGAGAGTTAACGAGAGTTCACGAGACAAATAGTGCTAGATCAAGATCAAGATCAAGCAAGATCAAGCGCAACTTCATGCGCTTCAGTTAGCCTCCAGAGTATTGGATTCTAATAAACTTTGCCATGCCCCTTACCCCAAACGGGGATGCCAGATCACGAGCGATTGTGCTCGTGCACAAAGAACCCCTCGTCATTTAACATTTTTGTCGTTTTTGTCGACTTTTTTCCCAACTTTCAGATATCAAACAGCTTCATCGAGCAGCGATTACACAGCCTATCAAGGAATAAATGCAAAATACACAGGAAATCTCACTGCTCGCTTGGAATTCCGTATGCAAGCCGAATGTGAAGTCGATTATTCGGATTTCCCGAATGTTTGTCGAGTTTTTAAGAAAATCTAGCTTATTTATTATCTACATTCACCTACCGTAAATACTGTAATAGTACCCGCACCCCTATAATTACGGTGCGGAGCGTTGCGTAATCGAGCTTTGGACGAGTTTTTCTCGACACTGGTTTATGCTACAATAGCAATACAATTATCAAAAAATAGCCCTGAATTTCAGCTATTTTTGATACCAAACTGCATTTTGAAAGTACGGGCGCTTTGAAAAAATTGAAATACTAAAAACTTTAGCCACTACGCGACTGTACGGAGGGGTGGGGTACTCTATTACAGTATTTACGGTAGCTTATTTATTCTCTGCATTCACCTATATTCTATTCTAAATCATTCTAAATCATCAATCATTTCCAGGATATCAAACATTGTTGTTATTTCGATCGCCGATCAACTCTCTTCCAAAATATTATATCAAATATTTTTTGATTGGAGCTCAAAGTGAGTCGATGAAACTTTCGATGAAACTTCAAGATTTCAATTTCAGATGGCTTAAACGTGGAGAATTTACGCTCAAATTGGCACATCGTTGACTCGTGGGTGAAAAAAACGAATCAAGATGGGGATATTAAGTGAGTAAATAATCCAATCTACGAACCAAACAAAGTCCATCAAAAAATTTCATCCTTTCCAGAGCCGAACAACTCGAGATTTGTGGCCAGCAAGGAGAAAATCGTCGACTCTTTCAATCGAATTGCTCATTCCAGTCACCGTTTCCAGCTCTCCTTTTAATCATCGCTCCATTCTTTGGGAAATTCAAAGAACAAGTTTGTTTTTTTCGGAAAAAGAAAACGATCAAATCAATGAATAAATCAATTTCAATAGGTGAATGTGAAAAATGTTCTCAGCTTCTCGTTCAATTTCTCGCTTTTCAACTCCTCGTCAATAAAACTCCGCAAGTGATCGGATTCGGGGAACATGTACCGAAAATTTGTAAATAATTTGTAAATACAATTCTAGCTTTGTAACTAGAATAAAAATCGATTTACTTTGACCTAATTCCATTTTCAGATCTCTTTTATGCATTCACT